TCGTGATGTGGAAGATCTCAAGCAACGAATCCTGTTGGCTTGGGAAGAGTTGCCACAGGAGTCCATTACTAGAGCAATTAAAACATGGAGAGATCGCTTACGTGCTGTTAGGAGAAATGGAGGTGGTCATGCAGAGCATCTTTTTCAACACTGAAGTGATGAATTTTTTTTGTCTGGTATGAGCGAGAGCAAAGCAGGTGCATTAGGAGTGGTTGTGCAGCGTCTTTGGAAGATTTTTATGTTTCACTCTTTTCATGCAAGTGCATTTTGTTGGAAAAGTTCAACTTTTGCTGTGCGTCTCCCCAGAGCGCAGCTTGTGGGTGGGTCGCTTTTCCAAATACATTTTTTCCGACAGCAAAAAGGGGAAACGTATAAGGCTGAAACTGGGTGGCATGTTGTTCCCTGAGCCAATATTTCAAAAGAAAAAGAATTTTCGTTAAAACCCATCAGGGCACATTTCTCAGCCCCATTTTCCAGATTTTTTTTGATGCCACCAAACAGACAGAAAATTTAAACTTCCCCCTGAAGTACCTATTTGATGACTGGGTACAGGAAAAATCCTACTTTTGAAATATGTCCCCTCCGCGTAGACTATAGAACGGAAATATTTCAAAATGTATTCTCCACCCTTGCAGAAAAGGGACACATGAAAAGATTTCAAGCTAGGCACCCGAAAATAATAGAAGCAATGACTTTGATAATAATCAAGACTTTCGTCCCCATAAGTCACGTATTTCAATTCGGACGTACTGTAAATATGTGTTTGCCATTTCGCAAAGAATAAATGAATTAAACACTATCCAAGGTAATGGAGCGCCGAAGGCGCGACTATAGCGAGTTTGTTTGCCCTTCAGGTAAAAAAACTCGCTAGTAAAGAAAATAAGTGATTTTGCTGATCTGATATAAAGGCACATCAAGAAAACCTCATTTGATGAGGATATGCGCCAGAGGGAGATGACAGGATAGAGGGCTAGATAAGATAGAGACAAAAAGCAATAAACTTAATAAAAGCAATAGAAAGCAATAAATAAAAGCAATAGACAGAATAAAAGGAGAGACTAGGAGACAGAAAATAAATGTAGATCACTCCTAATGGGAAATAGTGAACATTACAACTCAACCAACTGGATCTCTGCAATACATATCCAGGCCCATTCTGAAACTCCAGAGGTTTCAGTTTTATTATCATTAAAATTATATTCCAAATAACTGAGGTGAAATATCCTTTGGGCTCTCCTTATTTGGGCTCTCCTCAATTTATAGAGATTTACTCAAGATTCATACCATGTCATTGTATTTATGCTGACAATCAAGAATAATGAAAGTAAATAATACCCAATCTACAACATCACGCCGCAAACTACTACATTAAGTCACAAATATTTTTTCATCAATGGAAAAATCTCAGAAAACCGATCTATGAGAAAATGGAAAAACAAGGGAATATTAGGGAAAATTAAAGGCTGAATATGAATGTCTCTCTGCTACTTTTAGCTCAGTCAGTTTTAGTGAGGGCCTTTCTTGGTCTTTAGACTGGTATCGTGAACTGCCCAGAACAATGGAAACGACCTGTGAGCTGTCATAACGATATCATTCATTCTCAGTAATCATTACGACTTTGCAGGTTTGCAAAGTTTACACACTGTCGGTTAATGGAGGGAACATGACTGCTACGTTCCAGTGAATACCTTCAGGCACACCATGAAAGTAACAGCAGATATAGAATCTGTACCTTTTTTCAATGCCTATTACATGAATGGCCTCGCAGGAGTTTTGGGTATTGACATAAATTCAACATCATTTTGAGAATATTCCTCTATTTTATAAATCCCCAAAAGAGAGTTCCCACCAGGTTAACCAGATTAACAATTAAATATGTCCATTTCTCACTGACAATATTTTTGGTATTATGGGGTAGCCCTCCAGTTGCTGTCTTCTCAGCCTAATTCAAGCCCAAGGGGGAAAAAATGAACTTCATTTAACAGTACTGTACAAGGAGAGAATTTAAGACTACAAATTTTGCTGCAAAACTTCTGATGAATAAAGATCTTACCTGAACACAAGCCTTTCTCAAATTTACACACAGCCCATCAGCATCGTTGGAGTAATGGTCCACCAATTCTTGGAGAGTTCCGAAAGCATTCTTTTTGCCAATAAAGAATCCTACTTCTTCGCGTTGCTTGATCCGGTAGTGCTTCACTGTATCATCATATTTTACTGAAAACAAAACAAAAGGGTCACATGGATATGGTTATAGGAACTCATTTACCATTAAAAAAAAGCCACATGGCAATAATACTTCGTATATGCTAATCAGGTCACACTTTCTATGTTGACTTGACTCAGTTCCTTAGGAATACAACTACACACAACAAATGGTCGCATTCAGTGGGAGCCACACCTAAACGTTATACATCACGAGAATAAGTCATGCAGTAAAACATATCCATTCCAAAGTTTAAGTCATTCCCAAGAGTCAATAAATGAATGATAATGTTATCAATTAATGAAAAACCCTGGGATATCCAAATGTACTCCCTACCCAAATGGGTCAAAACCAGAGCTCAAATTAGTCTGAGTTTGGGAAAACACTCGGCAATCAATCAATACATTAATAATTCTCTAATCCCAATGCATGTGAAACAAGAAGGAGTTTCAAAAGTTTGAACATTGTTGGTGTACACATGATTTGAAGCAAAGGTATTGCGTTAAGTAATATTTAAGACTCTCAATACATAGATTCAGGAAGGTTCAAGGTGTAAAATAGTATCACTACATAAAACATACCAGACAGAGAGTAGTCATTGGGTCTACTTTCACTATCACGTATGAGGAACGCTCCATGGTCATTCTCTGGTAAGAGGAGCTTTTTCTCAGCTTCCGTTCGCTTTGTATTTCCAAAGTACCACCTGCAAACGAAAAATATATATTCATATAAGGATAGACCAGCAAAAAAGACAAGGGTCTACTTTGGAAGGTCTTAATGGGCCCTGTCCAAGCTTTTCCTTGAAAGGCCCCAAACTTACGGATCAGCTTCATTTGGCTTGAGTTTGGCCACATAGTTGGAAGGAAGGAATCCTTCTTCCTTGGTGGCCTTGCTCCTAGCATACCACCAGTCACCCTGGGTGTCAATGATGACCTCCAAGTGCTCTCCTTTCTTGAAACTAAGGTCTTCATCAATTTGTGCCTTATAGTCATATAATGCCACAAACACTTTCGCAGTATGGTTAGGTAAATTTTGTTTCTGAGTTGGCAGAGGAAAAAGGCTAGGTCCCTTTCTTTCCTGTTGCACGTGCTGTTGACTGTATCAAGAGAGAGAAGAAAGACATTTTGGGAAATCAGATGAATAAAATAAGTTGTATATGAACATTCCCTTAATTTATGTATTTTGGCACCGATTTTCTTCAGATTTTGCGATGACGCCCTACGAAATTAGGAAATTCTGGAATTAGATGAATAATTATATTTTAATTAGGGACAACCTTTAATTACACCATGTAATCATCCTATCTTAGGAATGCATTATTTACAAATCATGAAAGTCCTATGTATTTCTTTGTTGTTATACAGGGTGCCATGGAACTAGCCAAATATTGAGTAATTCATATTGGGTTGGGAAATTGGGTTGGGAAATTGTTTTCCTCTAAACCCATGAGCTTGGTCTCGAGATTTCTTTGGCTGCTGCTGCAAAGCAATTTGGCTGCTCGAAGTCGACGGCGCATCACTGGGTCGAAACGTTCAGAACGACCGGCGGCATGGTGGACGATCGATTGACATTCTTCCACAATCAGCTCATCCTCCTCTCCGTGGTCTTCCGTCTTTTTCGCTTTCCTAATTCATCCGCCACCCAGTCAGTCGTCGGTCTTGTTCACTCATAGGCTTCATTAAGAGACTTAAAAACTTAGACTCGGTCTTGGTCGAGCTTTCGTACCCTGAGGACATGTTAGAGGATATTCTCGAGGTTCTGACAGTTAAGTCGTGAGTTAGTCGTTATTTTGCTACCTTGTATGGGAATTGTATTGCATGTATTGCATGTATTGCGGGAATTTGAATCGTCTATTGTGAGCATAACGTCTCCTTGACATCCTCTGTTCATCGCATTACCCATTCGGAACTGAAGCGCTTCATTAGACTTATATACATATAGCTTACAGTAGACAGGGAGATTTTGTTCCTAAACACCACCCTGTATAACAACAAAGAAATACATAGGACTTTCATGATTTGTAAATAATGCATTCCTAAGATAGGATGATTACATGGTGTAATTAAAGGTTGTCCCTAATTAAAATATAATTATTTTATAGGTTTCCTATAAGAAATAACTATAGGTTTCCTATAGGACATTTTCGTAAGGGGCATCATCATGAAATTCGAGCTTATTGCCACAATCGCCATTGTGAACGCCTCGATTTAGCAGGTTTTCATGAGACTCAAGGCGACTTTGCTGGTTTCGTTGCCCTAGCACATTCAATACTCTTGCATCACCGAATAGCTCATGGGCTATTAGCATTAGGTTATTGTACAGATACCACTGATTCTGAAAAAGTACGGGCCATTTTCAAGAACTTGTTCGACTTTAACACAGAAGGAAGTTAGCACATGTGCGGCACAAAACTAACGAATAATTCCTGAAAATGCCTCGCCGCCACATTAGCACCAGTGAGCAACACTTTAAGAGCCTCAGGGTAAAGTGTGGGTTGCAGCAGGAGCACTTTTCCGTTGTGGCAGCAATGTGAAACAAATGCCCCCTCCATACAACAAAATGTAGAGCCTAACAGTGCTCGCTGCAGCAAACGATTGTAGTTATTGAGATGACATGGAGAGGCATGACAAAATGTCCATAGTTCCTTGGTGTAATGGTAACACACCTATCCGGCAAGCAGGAGGTTAAGGTTCAATTCCCGGCCGCCTCTGCTTCCCCGCTTTCGACAACTGAGTGCTGCGTTCCTCCCATCAAATTACTTAGCAGGCTGCGCGGCTCTCCTATTCCTGAGCTCAGCATTCGCTGCCTCTTGCTGTTCAGCTGTCTGAGCGGCCCTATTCTCCCAACGTTCAGCTGCGTGCTGTTGATCATTCATTCTTGCCATAACGGCTAGTACCTCTGAAAAAAGAACCGATTGAATTGATATTGAGGAATTAAGATAACCCAGTAAGCAGGTCATTAAGGGTTTAGTCGAAACTGAAAGAGAAAGTAGAGACACTTCTGCTCTAATAATAGCACCTCTGGCGACAGCTTTGCACTTAATCATTCCTGGGGGTGTAAGTGAGTAAGGGCAAAGCTGTCGTCAGAGGTGGAGTATGTGGATGCGGGATCGTGGACTCGGTACCACTAACCTCTTGCGGAAAAGCCCGAGACTATAGCCTTTTCCAGTTTGAGTTCAAGTTAGATGTTGACCGGTCATTAATAATACTGATTTTGTCGCCTAGTGGTGAAGTTCGATAACTATTTTCATTGCATACAGAAGATGGATCGATTTTTGGAGCGACCTGCTGCTGAGAATGCAGGAGAAGGTGCGCTAAAACCACAAATTGAAGATAAAGGCAAGGAAATATGATCAGAAATATATCGAGCTTGGCTTCACGTCAGCTGGAGCAGAAGATAACCTACAACCACAGTGTGTAATATGCAGCGAGTTGCTTGCAAGGAGAGCACGAAGCCTTCGAAGATGCGACAAAGTATAGAAAGAGAGATCCATATTTGTGAAGGACAAATCTGCTGAATTATTCAAGCGAAAGCTGGCGAGCTTCAAAACTCATCAGGAAGTGATAATTCAAACCACCAATGTGAACGTGAAAGCCATTTATGCATCCTTTTGTTGTCGCTAAGAATGGCAAAAGCAGGAAGCCCCACACCATTGGTGAAAAGTTTATTGTCTTAGTGCCTCAGACATGGTGACATGGTGTGGGGCGTCCCTGCTTTTGCTATTCCTAGTGACATCAAAAAGGATGCAGAAAGGGTTTTGGACCGCCTATGCTCTGCAAAGGAGGAACACCCATCGCAGTGAATAATGAGTAGCGCCTGCAATGCTTTTTCAGATTAGAAATAAATATACAAGAGTTATATTGCGTTTTCATTTCACTTTAACGAGCAGCCCAGGATGCTTATCCCATCAAGTTTTTCTATACCATGTAGTGGATGTCTCCTCAGCCAATGAATTGGGGGTCGGAAGCTTTTGGCTTCCGTGGAACGGGGTTGTGGACCCAAAAAGTTTGAGAACCGCTGGATTAAGCGATCGCGGGAGGCGGTCTTTAAGACCGAAAACAAGTTTCTCGGGTTGAGGGAGGTCAGCTTGGATGAGGGATCGGAGGGCGGGGTGGGGGCAGATGAGAGGGTCGACAGGACAGGATTAGGCCGTGTTGAAGGGGAGAGGGAAAACGCAGGCTCTTATACTTGTTGGTAACTCGAACATCAGGCGTTTTGAGGCAACGATGAGAAGAGATTCAGGAGCTCAGGATTCTTTTAGTCAGTTCCTCGGTGCTAGGATTGAACACCCATTAGGGACACGGTCGGATCGGTGGTGTGCTCCGCGTCAGCCGAGGAAGTGCCGGTTGTCCTTCACGTTGGGGCTCAACGATACTCTCGAGTCTGGCTCTACACTCATCATGATCAGGCAGGATGAGGCAGGCTATTAGGACATGTCGGGAGGCAAGGTCGATGGTACGGGTGACGGTATGTGCGATCCCGAACCGGCTAGACAAGGAAGGAATCACGTTGTCGGAAAGGGTTAAGGACAGGTTAAAGGAGTTACGTATCGCGGAGGGGAAAGTGTTTCTGGACACTACTAAGGCTCTGAGGCATTGTAAAAATCAGATGGGTAGGGACGGAGTACATTTCTCGAAACAAGGGGCTGGAGCAGTCGGGTTGGCTATCATGAAGGAAATGGAGGCTATTTAAGGGTTTTACATGGGGGGGGAAGGTATCACGAGCAAGGGACAGCCACTACGAGCAGTTTAAGACCGCCGCGTACTAGTATGCAGGAAAGGGAGGGAAGAGTGAAGTGTTTCTATGCGAATGCACGCAGCTTCCTTAATAAAATAGATGAGATCTGTGGGAGGGCACTGAATAACGGTTTCGATGTAATCGGAATAACCGAAACTTGGGGTGGTTCTCACATTTCGGATGAGGAATTCGAGATTGAAGGGGACGATTTGTTGCGGAACGATAGGCCAAGTGGAAAGGGAGGAGGAGTCATGTTGTACGCTAGAATTAAAATGGGCGTTCGCGTCAGAGAAGGTTCTCGGCTAACTGTGGCGTAATCGCAAACATTGTTTGCATAGTAAATGGAAGAGTGAGACCGCATGCACATGCACTTGCGAATTTGCCTTCGAATATTTTTGCAGCGAAAATGCGCAGAGAGGGCGTCTCTCTTGGAGATCAAGAGACAAGGCCTCAAGTCTCACAACTGTCGAATTTGACTTTCCTTATGTCGAACAAGCTTTTCCCTAAAATCCGACATCCAGTGCAGCGACACATTTGACTTTCCTTAGTCACATTTGACTTCCGTCTGTTCATATTCGTCTTAGAAAAGCAATACTGTAGACTACTCGCTCGAGAGAAGGTTAAGGAGGGGCAGTCTCATCCAGGCTTTCAAGATAAAAGAATAGATAATGTCGAGTATGGGAGGTTCTTCTAGTTTGATGACAGTTACAGAACTGTAACGGTAATCAACTGAAGTGCCGTGAACCGCATGTGTGACTCAGGATAAGACAGGAATTTTTTACTTGTAAAAGTGGCAAATGCGTGGAATGCGTCTCCCCCTTCCGTGACTATTTTTAAGAATAAACTGGTCGCTTTTATGGAAAATCAAGAAGGGGGCAATATTGGACTATGTAGTAAGGGACTATGCAATTAGCAACTAAGATATGCAATAAAAATCACAAAACTCACAAAAATAAAAAATATTTACCTTTAAGAGGAGTCGGCCCTAAAATTAAGGAAAGCTCCATCTTGACACGTGATATCCCCTTGGGTGTTACCGCCTCTTGATACCACTAAATAACATTGATACCTTCAAAAATTCAACTAGGTCTGTGAAGCTGAAACGGCTCCTTCTTGCTTAAAGTTCATTGTCTGATTGACTCATTGACTAAAAAATCATGGAATGGTATCTGACTTATCCTCACTCAAGTCTTGAAATTAGACTACATCTGAGTTGTTTCTAAGCATGCATTGTAGCTTGAAGCATGGTCTTGGAACTTGCTACGCTTCCGTCAGTTTGACATACCTAATAGACTCAATGAACAGGTAGTTAGAGATATTCATGATTCCAATAAATGATAATTTTCTCAATGGGCTGCAAGACAATGAGATTATATGTTATCACTTCAAGAAATATAATTGCAGGGTAAAATGCGCACAATTCTAGCCATACACATATGTGCAATTGATAGAGATAGCTTTGTAAATAAAAAAAGAAAAAGAAAACAAGAAAGTAAGACATTTGTTTCCATTATTAGCCCAGTCCTCCAGCCAATGTCTGCTGGAGATCATCAA